TAGTGCCATTAGTATGTCAAAGAACTCGGTTCATCATAAGAGAACTAAGCACATAGATATTAGGCACTATTTTTTGAGGGACAACTATGAGAAAGGCTTGATCACTGTGGAGTTTTGTGCTACTGACAAGCAAATTGCCGATATCTTCACAAAAGCCTTAAGTAGAGATCACTTTGAGAGGAATAAGTTGGAATTAGGGATGATTAAGATCACCTAAAAGGACCAGTTCAAGGTTAAACGAAAAAATTGAAAAAAAAATAAAAAAAAATTTGGTTAGAAAGTCTGTAACTTGTGTATAATTATATTAAATCTTGCTCAGTCTCATACTTTCAATGGTATACTCTTGTTCCATGTGTTAAAATGACTCATTAATCTCTAATACTATTTTCTCTATTTTGGCAAATTTAGAATTAAACAAGAGAATTATCAGTGAAGAACCTGGTTCATCAAGATAACACGGTATGTTTTCTACACACTGTATAATTTGGAATAATAATATTTGGATCATAAGCAGAGTCCTACCTAAGCCAAAATTACTTTTGAACTTATCCGTTACAAGTGAGACAGCTCCTTTCAAGACTCCTAATCGTATTAAACTACCTAGATTCTTTTAAGTCTGCTACTGAGGGGGAAGAAAGTGGTTCTTCCGAAACTGAATAGGTATCTTTTGATTCTAAAGTTACTCCTGAGACAATTTGGTGCGGTGAAGTTGCTACAAATTTGGAGAATAGATTTGTAGGATCTATAGCAGGTGTTGAGACTATCGAATCTGAAAAAGTTGGTGGTAAAAATGAAAAAGAAAAAAAAGGAGATCAAGGGTGCTAGGAGTACTGTGAGGGGAAAGGGGACAAGAGTGGCTGATTCTTCACCCACTCCTGTGAGTTTAACCAAAGACGCAGGTGCAATGGTTGTTGGGGAGATGAACCTGGTTCATCTGTAGAGGAAACCCTCGCATACTTGCTAAAGAAAGTGACTGAAAGCTACAATCCAGCTTCTTGATAGAGTTATCAATGGCATCAAAACTCATACTATTCCCTATGGCTTCATTCTCACAACTGTGCTTGCACATTTCAATGTACCTATGAAGAAGTGGGAGGTTAGTACAAGCAAGGATCATTTTGGGTTTAATACTCTGCTTGCTTGCGATTATTAAGTCAATGCCACTCCTAAAGAACCTGGTTCATCCAAAAAGGTACCAGTGAATAGCAAGGTCAGAGCCTTGGTGCAAGAAAGTGGGACTAAGGATGCTGAGATCGAAAGGCTGAAGAAGAGGTTGGTTGAGGTGAAGACTGAGAGAGATGCTCTCAGAACTGAGCTGGCAAGAGAAAAAGAGAAGAATGATGGTATTCTTCAAGATATGCTGAAACTCCTCCAAGTCAAAAACCAAGCACCTAGTGGTGCATAGAAACGGGCAGATTCAAGCATATGGGATGCACGTGAAGGAGATAAGCTTAACTTGGTATATTTGATATCTCCCGATCGAAAAGGTTGCATAATTGTTAAGGAGAAGGACTCCTTACTCAAAGAGAATACTGTTCAAGATAGGGAAGGAGTTAGAAGTTGAGATCAACTAGAACTCTTCCACCAAGGAAGAGTAGCATTAGAACTCTAGTTATTTCTTCATCTACTCACTTTATAAATTGCAGAATGTTCTCACATTACAGGTAATGCATAAAAAAGCAGAAGTTAGACGTGAATTGAGAGCAAAATAGCAAGGCTTTTTGCAAGCAGTTCGTGTGAGATTCAAGTGTGCAAACCTGAAGCTACGTGAACTAGATAGAAGAACTAGTTCCAAGTGTCTGTCTTTTATTCTAGGTCAATTGTAGTAGGTGTTTTCATATTGTACCTTTCAGCTTTATCTAGAGGCAATTGTAATAGGTACTCAGAGTATTCAAGTTAGAGTTAACTTGAAGTTGTCGCAACAGTTAGATGTTGTTTGCCACAACAGGATTAGAGTTAATCATAGGTTTACAAAAGTATTTTGTAAATGCAGTTTTTGGCTCAGTGATTTAGTGGAGAGTTTGGGAAAATCCTACTGGAAAGTAGGTCGTGGTTTTTTCACTTTTTGAGCCAGGTATTTTTCACGTAAAATACTTGGTTCTTTACTTTCCGCATGTACTATTTCTGCAATAGTAGGTTAAGGAACACTTAGAAGAACCATGTCCTTGCATAATCAGTTTAAGCGAAAAATTAGACATACACAAATCACCCCTCTTGTGTGGTATTGAAGTTAAAACATCAGAAAATAATGTAAAGTTAGAATTCATTCCAGTCTCGATAATACATATTATTGTGTGAAAATCTTAAATCTTGGTCAAAGGTTGATTTGTAAAATCTTCGATCAGTGTACAGAATCACAATTTCTGCTCGAAAGTCGAAAGCATTTAAGGAATAATCAGATAATAAGGGAAAACTCTTATTGAGTTGCCCAAAATTGGAAAAGATTTCCCAAATTTGATTTAATTATAAATCTTAAAACATTTCAACAATTTTGAATCATTAATGGAAAATCTGACTTTTATCTGATTGACCTAAGGCAATTTTGAATCCCTTTGCGACTATCGAATTATTTTTTATATCAAGAGAATTTAACAATTTATATATAATATCTATACTATATTAAAAGCACGAAGGTCCTTAGCGAAATATCGTTCGCCTTTTTTATCCTTTTTAAAATAGAGTTCACATTAGACAAAATAGTCATTTGATTATTTCACTAATATTTAAAAATAATCATTTAATTAATTCCCTACTATTTAGGAATAATATAACAAACTTAATCAAATTATTTATCGTTGTAGGTTCAATTATTGTAACTCTAACTATCGCATTAACTTAATAAACAAATGTTTGCATCTATTTTAATGTCCATTACAATTTTACATAACTTGTTCTTTTACATAAATTTTAATTGATTGACGCGATAAACACGTGCAACGCACGTATCCTAAAGCTAGTATTCTTAATAATATGTAGCATAATACTTAGTTCCAACTTGCATCAGGAAAAAAAAAGGGCTTGAATTAACCTAAATCGTTACCCATCTAAACACTTAAATTAAAAATAGCCAGCAAATATAATATATATATATATATAACCGTATATAATTAGTGTATAATCTACGAATACCGATTAAAAAAATAAACAATAAATCTTGCCAGCTATAGATGGTCAAGAAAACTATGGGAAATGAGTTGAAGCGGGTCAATAGGAGATCGAATCCTTAAAAACTTTGTACTAATAGTTTCGAGATCCCCTTTCTTTGCACCCCCAAAGTTTTCCCATAAAATTGGGATTAGATTCTATATTCTTCTTCTTCTTCCGTTCCAAACATCGATAAATGCACAAGAAAAAGAAAGAGTTGCCACTTTGCCAGCTCTTACCTTCAGAGGCGGAGGCACAGTATTGATTACGAGTTCGGCCGGAATTTAATTATTTTGATTCAAATTATGTTTTTATCTTAAAATTTTTATTAAACATATATGAATTATTAATTTAGAACCTGATAATTTAAAAAAATTAAAATTCCGAACCCATAAACTTGAAATCCTAGTTCCGCCTCAACTTAGATTCAACTATACTCCATCTTCTAGGTCAATGCCAGTGTTAAAAATATAGAGATAAGAGTTGCATCCAACTAAACGTAAAAAATCAATCAAAATCAATTATTTAATTAAAATACAAGGCAACAATTAAATTGTAATAGTACGTTAGTAACTACTTCCACGTTACATTAATTAAGGTTCCAATATTTTATATGCATCCCTTTCTTGTATATTACTCTCATAATTTATACACAATTTTGTTTTATAGTAGTTTCTTTTTTGATTTCTCACTCGATATTCGGTGTCTGCATTGAAACGAAAGGAGCACCACATCCTTTGGTTAGTTGCCATTACCAAGCATGCATAAGTAGTTTTGCAGCTATTATTGTTATTGACTTTTACAACATTATCTGTTGATTTTTATAATATATTTATTAGTGCCAATTTCATTCTTTGAACTCACAAAAAGGCACACAATTCATACGATTATATATCAATCTTGGACTGCCAAAGGATTCCGCTGTCTGCAACTTTTAGTACTTTGTAAAGTTGTTTTTGTTATCTCCTTGCATGAAATAAGTCACGTGTATATATTTTTATGTTACCACAACCAAAAGCGGATCCAAGATTTTAAGTTTAAGAATTCTTATATTGACTTTAAATCTGTATATTATAATAACCAGACTAAAGAACTGAATTCCTAACTAAATATTCTTATACATTGGATAATTTTTAAATATAAATACGAAATCTAGCCAAAAGTAGGTCCCTGAAAAACCATACTTATACCTTTAGATCCGCCCCGACTACGAGTAAGTTTGTATTCACGTGTATTTCGTTGCAAATATCCCTATAATGAATGATAAAAGTAAATTAGTTTGTATATATATATATATATAACTTAAATTGTTCAACCAACTATCTGCTCTACATTAAAGAACAAGGGGATATATTTGAATTTATGGTCAAAATTCAATTATTGCTGCTTATTCGGCTCCTGGACAGAGACCGCGTAATTGCGGTTGCCACCAACCAATTTTTTTTGTAGATAGATGTGAAAATCCATGTATCTTGCGTGTCTTATTTAAACAGCTTATCTTTTATCTTTTCTTGTAACCTATTTTCCTTAGTCGAATCATATCGGTAGACGACTTTGTTCCAATTTTGAATCAATAACATGGCCCCAAGCATTGACATCAGGGGCGGAGCTAGCCCACGACACGCAGGTCGGCTGAATTCAGTAACTTTGGTCCAAATTATATATTTGTATTAAAAAATTTATTAAATATGTATAAATTGTTAATTTAGAATTTAGTAACATAAACAAACTAGAATCTCAAACCCACAAGTTTCAAATCCTGATTTCGCCTCTGTTGACGGGGCAAGATTTTCACTAAGGAAGTTCATCATCTATTATATACAATAACAACAACAAATCCAGTAAAAACCCACAAGTAAAATCTGGAAAGAGTAGTGTATATACATACTTTATTCTACCCTAAAAGGATTCACATGAACCCCTTACGCTCCTGGCCACAAGGATCATAGAATCATAATATGAATATATACAAGAGTTCAACAAAACACACTTGTAATACTAAATGGCAGTATTTGATTTACAATCTTAATTTGTTGCTCGAATTCTTCAAAAACGTCATATATAGCATCCATGTCATATACCATTTAATTTTAAAAGATTTGACGGGGGAAGTCGAAATTTTTGAAAAATTCGGAGCAACATAATTTACATTACAACTTCATATGTGAACTAAATTTAAACTGAAATGAATCAAGAACAACAAATTAATGAAAGAAAATTATACACAACGTATAGTATGTAACCTTATTTTTTCATCAATTGGAGAGGATTTGGTTTGGTCATGGTTCTCCTTTTCCATAAATTAATTTCCTTCTTTGGCTCCAATGGAAAATTTGGTTTATCTCTACTACTACCTACTAATATTGGAGCTGAAAATGGAATAATTACCTCTTCTTCTTCATCTTCATCTTCATCTTCATCACAATATTCTGATCTATCATCATCTGAATAACATTTCCTATGATCTTCTGGTGTAATTTGCACATTTTTCCAATCAAAATTTGACAAACTACTTTCACGACCACTAGCAAATTTTTTCATTTGACTCAAATTACAAGGTACTCTATTTTGAATATCACTAGAAATATTATTTTCAGCTGAATTACAAGCATCAGATTTTCTCCCACCTCTTTGAAAAATATTCCTAAAACTGGATCTTGATTTCTTCTTATTACTCTCAACTAAAGAAGAAACTGAATTTTTCTCCACTGGCTTTGGTGTTTTAATCATTTTCTTCTTCCTTTGTTTGATTTGACCAATGCATGAAACTTTTGGTGAAGTTGGTTCTTGAGTTGTTTCATTATTTGACTTTCTTGATCTAGCTTCTACTGGAATTAAAATAGGACCAGAAAATCCTTTGTGATTATGATGAAGATGTGATAATCTTTTTTCTCTACCTGGACTAAATGGAGGATTTTGGAATATAACAGCAGCAGCTGCTGCTTTTGGCAATAATTTCAAGATCATATTTTTCTTTGACTTGGTTGGTTTCTCCATCCAAATTTTAACTCTCTTCTTCTTCTGTTGTGCTGATAAAGTGTCTCTATTTGGTTTAAATGATTAAATTTGTCATCTTTAGGTTATATTTATATATGGGTTTTAGGGGTAGAGTGGCAAGAAACGAGGTAGATAAGGGTAAGGATTGGATTATTGACTATGTCATGACTGGTGAAAAGACTCAGAAAGAGAGGGCTTAATAAGGAAAATGTCTAAAGAATCAAAAATAGATAAAGCCGACTGGGCAAAACAACTGGCCAAATCTGAGTAATTAATAAATAAGGAGTTTTTTTTTGTCCCGTGTCCGGTATTAGAATTGGAGCCCGACTATATTCGAATTCGGGTCGTATAGACTCCATTCGATGAAAGCGCTCCCTACCAAGATTAGCAACACGGTTGATAATTCTCCAATCTTCTTCTCCAATAACATCTGGTTTCTTTTCTTCAATNTATAGACTCCATTCGATGAAAGCGCTCCCTACCAAGATTAGCCAGAGCTCGAACCCGAGACCTTTAATTAAAAACAATCATATCTACTGCATCACATCCTTTGGTGGTAACTAAATAAAGAATTTAACTTATGTAGACAGATAATGTAAAATTTTGTACTATGAAGTTAATCAAAATATATTTATTAGTAACTCTTTAAAAAAAAGGTAATATTTATAATTTTGGATAGTTTTTAAGCTAAAATAAACTTAAAAGAGGGTGAATGAGAAATGGAGGTGAAATGAAAATTTTAAATTTCCCTCCTTGACAATGAGACATTGTCCTATATTGAAAGAGGAAAAGGTTTTTGATGGGTATATATATATAATTGCTATTATTTTAGCTCTTAAAGAGTTGAGAAGAAATCAAGCCTCGCGCTGTCTTCACTCCCTCAGCTTCGGCTTCGGTCAAATGATTGATTGATTAATTTTTTGGAACAAATTTATTTGTTAATAGTAAATATTAACGTAATATGATTAAATATCCGTGTTTGTAACAGAAGATTAATAATCCAAATTATACGTTTCAATGACTCTGCCCCATCCGTTTTTTTGTAACGGAAAACGTTTCCTCTGTCTGTTTTAATTTGCGTAAATGACCATTTACGTTATGACCGTTTTACGTAATTGACCTCTCTTCGTTTGAACTCAATAGGTTGGGGCTATAAATAAGCTGTCCATTCTCTCAGATTTTCAATACGAATTTCTGAATACTCCTCTTTTCTTCTGCATTGTTTTAACTACAAAGAAAGCAACAGTAAGTGTAATTTGCTACCGATCATTGTGTTCGCTGAAACACTGGGGTTTTGAAGTACCACTACACCAATGTGTAATCCGTTCTATCCGGAGAGGAAATAATCTACAATCTTGGGTACTAGGAGGGGATTAAGTTCCTTAAGGAAATATTGTGAATTCAATGAGCTCGAATTAAATTCTGTTTCTGTTTTTCATTTCTGTTTATATGTTATTTTATATTTTCCAGAATTATTTTACAAATTCAGTATACTAACAGATAATAGGTAAATGAGACCTAATATACCACAGAGTAAATAAGGTAGAAATAATTTTATTTGATGCATATTTCGGAAACAATCTCTCTATCCTCTTGGGTAGGGGTAAGGTCTGCGTACACACTACCCTCTCCAGACCCCACTAGTGAGATTTCACCGGCTCGTTGTTGTTGTATTTTAGTCATACGAAAACCAAAGCAATTAAAAGTTAAACTATATTCAATGTTCAAATCCTAGGTGGTGTGAAACGACGTGCTAAATCAAATTGCCGACATACTAGGAGTTGTTGTCCAATACAAGTTGCCATTGCTATTCAATTAATTGACCTGTTAAGTTTCTCATAACAACAACTTAGTTTTTTTTTTTCTTTTCTTGTGTGGTGGTTAGATAAGTAGGGTGTTAAACAAAACAAAGACGATTGAGTCTACTATATATTTTCTAGCTTATGTTTTCATAAATATTACTAACCTCGTTTGATTTAAGATTGAAGCTACCTAATTGATTAAATATTTGATGAGATAGAACCGTGATAATGAATAATCAAAACCTCCTTCGTCATAGTGATGGACAAAGAGGCCCAGTTAAGCTACATGTTGCTACAAGCCTACTATATTAGTTCTTGGCCCAATTGAATTTTCGCCTTGAAATTATAATAAAAATTGCACGGGGCGCCCTATTTGGTCGCTCCCATTTAACATATACCCATTTTTTTAAAAAGTTTTAACCTGTACTCAGTTTTTAAACAACTTCAGCTTCTTTCTCCTCCTCCTTTTCCTTCTTCGTTTTCTTCTTCTTCTTCTTCTTCTTCTTCTTCTTCTTCTTCTTCTTCTTCTTCTTCATCTTCTATTAACAACTGAAAGGCACTATGATTAATTCTCTAATACTACCACCATCTTAAGAGAAATTTTCGTTCTGTTTTTAACATTGTATTGGTAGAGTTTTTACATTAGGTGAATGCAATGGTTGCAGGAGTAGATTTGGAATTTGTTTCTGTAGAATAGTAGTACTAATAGATCAGGAGAATAATATCAGTTTTTTCATTTAAGGAGAGGACTGAGGAGGAGGATCACAGTTCTCTTGCCTTTGTACTTGTCTGAATGGGAAAGTTCTTAATGTGCTGCAGTTCAGAACGAACATCCTTGGATTATTAGTGTTTTGTGTAACATCTGTGGGATAATTGATTGTTGACTTGAAATTTGTGAAATCTTTCAGTGCTGATTCGATTTTTACAGATAGAACTTAAGCCTTGCCATTTATATTTCACTCTTCCTGCAAAATGTTACTTCAACTTATATAGTGCTGAAATTTTTACAAATGAACTAAATAACTTCAGCATCTTTTGTTGAAGTTTTTGAAAAAGCTTATCCAGGACAAAAAAACTCCAGCTTATTTAGTGCTGAAGTTTTTACAAATGAACGAAATAATTTCAGCATCTTCTGCTGAAGTTTTTGAAAAAGCTTTATGACAAAACTAATGAATCCATGACAAAAAAACTTCAGCTATTTTAGTGCTTAAGTTTTTACAAATGAACTAAATAACTTCAGCATCTTATCCAGGACGAAAAAATTCAGCACTGCCTTTGCTACTTCAGGCCCGTCTACTAGAATGCTGAAGTTTTGCATGATTAGCTTTGCTACTTCAGCCCCGTATGCTGAAGTTACGCGAAAAAGTGGGTACACTTGTAATTTTTTTTGCAAAATGGGCACAAGTTAAAACGTGACCCAAAAAGCGGGTATAGATGTAAATCCCCCTAAATTATATCATACTAATAGGAGAAATCTTTGATCAAGCTTCAAAAATCAACTTATTTTGAAAAGTAATTTTCTTAAAAGTAATTTTTCGTGCTTTTCAAAAAGTATTTTTGACGAGAAACAATTTGTATTTGGCTAATTAATTTGAAAAATATTTTAGATCAGCAATTAATGTTTGATCAAGTTTTTAAAAAGTACTTCTAAATATATTATTCTCGCAAGTGACTTTTATAAAAGGAGTTTTTTGAAAACGCTATTTTTTTCTGCTTTACAAAAACTTCTTCTGCTTCTATTCAAAAGTACTATTTTTCCCTTCTAAAAGCTTGGCCAAACACTAGGCATGTTCATGGATCAAATTTATCACATTTCGAATTATAATTTTGGATTTCGGTTCGGATTGTACGCCTTATTAAGATCCTAAAATAAATCATTATAAGATGCTATCTCCTACCATTTTCAATAGCAAAACTCATTGATTTCCATATCTTCCGCATTTAATATTAAAAAGAAAGAAAAGGAAAAACCAAGAAGAGAGATAACAAAGAAAACCTTAAAATTTATGAAAGGACGCCTTTATCTTTTATATGTAAAATATTAATTTCGGGTTTCGATCGGTTTTTATGTAAATTGAGCCAAACATATTGATATGAGGCTAAAAATTCATATTTTTGCATGTAATTTGCATTGCATTATGCCTCAATTTTGTTAACTTTGGTGTAAATATTCGTGACTCGAGCTTAATAATGGTGTTTATATGTGTAGGAGTCAATTTGAAATAATTTGGCAAGCTTGCATGCAAAGCGAAGTAAAAACAGAAGAATTTGGAGGGAGTATGAGTTTGGTGCCCAGGTTGGTGCCAAGCACCAACCAAAATGCCAAAGGTAGAATAGTAGAAAATTTCGGCGTCCTGATTGGCGCCAAGCGCCAAACAAGACGGCTAAGGGCGGATTTCGTCCTAATTTGGCTAGGACTTGGGTAGTTTCAATCCTACGCTCCCTCAACATGTATAAAAGGGGTTCTAAACCTATTTCTTAAGCGATGGCATTATTGGGGAAGCAAGAAGGCTACGGGAACACTTGGAAGCAACGAATCACAAGAGTTTTCTTTTCCGTTCTTCTTTAATCTGTATTTTAGTGCTCTCAATTATTATCATGATTATTAGTATGATTATGAGTAGCTAGAATTTCTCATCTAATTTTAATATAATTTTGCCTTTGAATATCTCTACTTGTTCAACTATATGAATATTGTGGTTGATTGAAGGGCCCTCAATTGATTGTGCCTATTTAGTGTGTATTGCTTGAAAAATGGTACATATTTAAGTAGTTATTGAATAACATCACTCCTAACGTATGTGAGGAATCAATACAGAGGGTTTAAAAGTGGGATTAGGAATTGTGAGCAGTGAATTAGTGCTAGCTAGCGTAGTTCGGAAGAATAGGTCTAGTAAATTATAGTAGTTGCTCTGAAGAGAATTACGACACCCGAAGTACTCACGATCGGTGGAGAATATTTAGGTAAAATTATAGAAAACGTAGCGGGAAGAATTCCGACAATTAGGGAAATCATAACTCTAGACCTCCTTAATCTTGTCTCTAACCCTTAGTCTTGTTAGTTGATAGTTTTATTGCTTTCTAGTAGTTGTTAGTTAATTAGTTAAAAATAAACATTATAATCTTTATAATTAGAAAATTGTTTGGACTTGTTTCTTAGCGATATTGAACAACTGTATCTAAGCCTTAGTTCTCTTTGGGATTCGATCCGAACTTGTAAACCGGATTATATTTGCAATGACGCTAGATCTCTTAGGAGACATAGTTGGGCGTGATCACGTATCCGATCCGATATCCAAAATAATAAAATTAAAGATCCGAAATCCGATCCAAAAAGCTAAAATCCAATCCAAACTAGTCCAAATAACACATATCGATTCGAATATTCAGGTTGATCCAAATAATGCACAACCTTACTAAACATCTTAACGTTAGGGAAAAATACTTTTGGCCAAAAAGAAACCCGACTAAACTGGCTATAAATTATTCCGCTTGAAATGCCTTCTCCAAAAATAAATTAAGGCTAACACGCTAAGTAAGAATTAAAATGCTTATTATAGCCACTTTCAAAATCAACAATCCCAGCAAAATAGTTCACAAATTAAGCATACCAAAACTCACATCTCAACCAATCAAAGTTGGTTTTTCTGTATGACAAACACTTAATTAGCTAGTCCATAATCATTTGACATAATCAAATCATGTCACAATTAAGTCTAATCAAAACAAATTTTTCTCAATAATTTTAATAAGTAACCCTTACTCCTTGGTATCTAAGAATTTCTCCAATAAGTTCTCCTTTTCCAGATCCAACATACCTTCCACAAATCTCCCCTTCTCTTATAAACAAAAATGTTGGCACTTCAACTACATCCATATCCTTCAAAAACTGCATGCAACTGTCATTCTCATCACCGTTCATTCTTGCAAATACAACTGTATCAGCCATTTGCCTTGATAGCTTAATCACCGTTGGATAAACTTTAACACATGGCCCACAATGTTTCAATCCCACATCAAGAACTATTAGTTTTTGATCAATTTTGTGGTCTTGAATTAGTTTTTCTACGTCTTCTCTGCTGTGGAGTTGTACCACTTCAGAATGGTTGTCGCCGTAGTAGAGTACGTCTCCAACTAGTTGATCTGGACCTATGCCTTCTTCCTCGTGTATCTTTTCCATGCTTTTGTAAAAGTTGAAATGTGGTACCTGTTGAGAAAAAAACGAGCTTACATTAGCTTAATTATTTTATTTATATAGTACTCCCTGTTTCGAGTTTGATTTGATGGTAGTTGAAAAACAAGAGCTTAACTAAAAGTTTGATACATAATCATTGGATCGTGCATTCAGAGGCAAAACCGGAATTTGAAGTTTATGCGTTCTGAATTTACCACGGAACTCATAACTCGTCTTAGTTACTAGGTTCGCAATTAAATATTTACATATATTTAATGAATTTTCTAGTACAAATACAATATTTAAGTAAAAGTGATTTGGTTCGACCGGACCATACCTCGTAGGCTAGCCTGTTGTATGCATGGAAGGTCTAGTAAAACGCCCAGTTCGTATGAGCTGAACTTTATAAGCCAAAATGAAAGGGCATACTAGGTTTTGCATAAGATGCAAATCTAAGATTTAAGTTTTATGTATTCAACTTTTGAAGTTTTTAGCATTGAACCCCTTGTATTTTTTAAGTTATGAGTTTATATTACTATATATTGCAATATTGACAAAAGTACTTGGTTCAGTTGAACCTGATGCCGATACATTACGGTCGCCTTTGCATATAGGTTTAATTTTTTGCAACTAGGAGGGTATTTGGCTAAGATTATAAGCTGGTCAAAAAGGTTTGTAAGCACTTATTGGTCTATCTATGGGTTTTGTAAAAATCCAAAGTGTTTATAAGCTAAAATTAGCCATAAGTCATAAGTTGATCACCCCCAACTTATGACTTTTCAGCTTATAAGCACTTTTAGTTTAACTAAAACTTTTACTAATTTATCCTTAATTTTAGTTTACAAAATATTTTTTCCAAAATAAATTTCCTAACTTACTATTTATTTTACCTTAGTTGTTCATCCTTTTCTTTACAAGAAAACTTTTTAAATTTATAATCTTTTGTAAAGTTTTTAAAGGTGTTTTAGTTATTTTAACAAAATAATAATTTATCAGTACTTTTCTAGCAAACACATCAATTATTTATTATTGGTTTCAGTATGCCTATTTAAACATGTAATTGCTTATTTAAAAAAATCAATTTCAGCCTTAAAAATATTTTTTAACACTTTAAGCTTATCACCCATTTACAATCCGCTAATCCAAACGGGCTCTAAATAACTTTTGAATTGAAAGCCATAAATAAAGAATCATCACTACAATTTCCATTTTTTAAGTCATAATTTAAAAACATATGTCCTTGCTATAAATGTAAAAGATTGATCAACCTATTAATTTTAAATCTCAGGTCCACCACTGATAACAAGGAGATCTAGTCATACTTGGTTCAATATGGCTCAAATTAAACTGTACACCAATGTTTATCCGGGTAATATTATGTAATTTTGTATTCTATTACTCCCTTCGTTCCATGATATTAACTTCTTATTACTATATCCAAAATGATCCATAGAATTCTAATTTGAAAATAATTTAACTTTAAATTTTTATTTATTTTTAGTTAGACGCTTTTATAGCTATACAAACATTTCGCCACATTTAAAATCACATAATTCAAAAATATTTTTTCTTTATTACTCTCTATGGAGGGAGGAATATTATATTTCATGTAGCGAAATCACTCAACAGCGCTATAACGTCATATCTATATAACAACACTTCACTATAAAAGAAAAGCTTTTTCGGAACCAATTTTCATGTTATGTTATAATATATGTTCTTTATAACAGACACTTCGCTATAAACTTGTACCTTATCTATCTTTTCTCTGCGGCAGAGTTCCTTTGTCTTCTCAGTTTCATCACCAATCACTAGCAAGAAATCAACGTCGTTGCATGTCTTACTTAGGTTTACCATAAAAGGGTAAATATTTTTCGACCTTTCACTGTCTTTCCCTGCAAATTCCACCACAACAAGCCTGTTTTTGGCTTTGCTAAGGGCTTCATCTAATTCCTCCTTACTATTCACTTTTACCACTCTTTCATCTTTGTTTGCTTTTTTCTCAACACCTGATGCTGCTGTAGCCTTTGTAATTAATAAAGATCTTTTTGTTCTCAGGTTTGTGAACTTGTCGAATGATTGATTAGTAGGAAAATTAGAGTAAAATGAAGGGCTAATTTTGGTAATAGAAACTAGATCTGGAGATGGTTTGAGCAAAAAATTAGTGAGGGTAGCCATATTGCAGTAAAATGAAGGGCTAATTATTGTAGTAAAATTTTCAAGAATGGAACACTGAGAAAGAAGGAAGAAGGAAGTAGAAAATTTGAGAAAAAGGATATCCAAGTTAAGATGAGGCTGACCCTATTGGAGATCTATAAACATATCCACTTGATAGGTTTTGGTTGCATTTCAACCACATATAGAAAGAGGATATCAAGTTATCAACCACTTTGTCTAGATTTTTTTGCTTATTTTGTTGTCTTTATGTGTGATATTCTTTGGCATCAATTTCTTGATTTGCTATTTGGTGTCAACCTATTTTCTTTTTGGTCCGTTTCAAATAGAATGAACCCTTTCTAAATTTAGAAACAATTTAGGTTAAATTTTCAATTCTGTCATTAATGAGAAGCTTTTATAACCACACAAATACTCTAGACCCCATTTTAACTTGTTTAGGACCACAAATTTCAAAAGTCTTTATTTTTTCTTAAACTCCGTACCCAGTCAAATAGGTTCACATAAATTGGAACGGAGGAAGTATTTTTATTGGAGCAAATTAAATTTAGATTTATTCCGGGAAGTCCTATATTGGGATAAAATATTCTTTAACTATGATGACTCTATACACAAAATTTGAATTCAAAATTTTAGGTTAAGGACGAAGGAGTACTTATCACTCCACCACAACACTTGTAATTGATATTCTTTGTCATCTTAAAATATCAAGAAAAGAGACTTGATTGGTAATTGGACTTATTTAAAGATTTTTATTGGTTTATGTACACTTTACTTTCACAGATACGTTTGTTATATGTGGTCTGTGGACAATCTAATTGATATTTTTCAGTTACATGATAACAAAGCAATCACCTCCTTCAATTTTATAATTTTAGTTAGACATGACATATTTATTTTAGACATAAAATATAAAATTGATTATTTTGTTGTCTTAAGTAATAGAAATTGACAAAATAATATAAGAAAAATGCACACCGTGTGAACCAAATCCATGATGGATAAGTAATAAGAATATTTTTGGAGAGAGGAATATAAGTGTAGAATCGATTGGGTAAGAAGCCCAAAGTACATGAAATACCATTTCCAGCAGGCCAATTTCAAGTTAAAATGGCGCAGTCTAGCCAGTTTTCGGACTGGTCATTCAAAAATAGCCAGCATTTATCAAATCAATGAAAAATAGCCATTATTTTGCTGCAACAGAGACCGGTCCAGCATAATATACTGGAGTTCGGTGTACCTGTATATGAACTTCCAGCATATTATGCTGGACGGGTATACTTTGGTGGCTCCAGTATAATATACTGGAGACTGGAGCACCGATGCTCCAAACTCCAGTATATTATACTGGAACTCCAGTATATTATGCTGGAGTATTTTTCCGGAGTTTGAACAGTATTTTCGTTCAGATTTATCTTTACATGAAAAGTGGCTAAATTTCGATTATCTTTGAAACTGTGGCTATTTTTGAATGACCACTTGTAAATCTGACTATTTTTTAATTTCTCCCCAATTTCAATTGTAGAGCCCAAAACCCAGTCATATTATATCTCTCAGTCAGTGGAACTTTTGATTAGCCCATATAAAACTATGCATGATTTGAACAAATAGAACATTTTGGTGCTACTATTAATTTTTTGACCCAGCTTGAACTATGAGCAAATTTTAAGTTTAACAAGTATTGCTTCGTTCTTGACTTTTGGGTATAATACTTTTTGACTTTTAACCTAAAGGTTCGCCCATAAAACAAGTAGGGGTCAAAAATTCAAGACGATCCATTTTCAAAGTCATTCCTGTAAACTATTGGCTTGGCCCATCTTCCAAACCAGTGGGTCTGTTCTGAATTTTGACTTGTAGAAAGTGGCTATTTTTATATTCTGAAATTTTCCCTTCAATAGCATAAGCCACATGAGAAATAGAGCTTACGATTGCAGCGGTAGACTTTAAAATTTTCATTTTTCTCATGTTCGATATCTGCGAAGATAGAATGTAATAGTACCAAAGAAATATAGTTGAAATTGCACCCAAATCAATTCAAACATAGACATTGTTGGCATTGAGCTTTTAACATTTACTAGGTTTCATGGTTTTGCACGAACTTGCAAGCTACACATCAATTCAACGTTGCTCTTTCGTTACTCTCTGAATTATATGACTCTTATATATTAATGTGCCATTATAACTGTATAGGTCGAAATCTGAACAAAAGAATCTTATTTAAGGGAGGGCAACCGAGAGCCAACCAAGCCGAGGTCACGTATGGGAAGCAATACACTAACGAGTGATTCAGCTACGGTCGAAGTCGAACACTTCATTCGGCCTGAACGGCTAGTTCAACCCTTAGATATCTTTAAAGAATATTCCGAAGGATATTCCACGAACTTAGGTACTCCGGTTAAGGACCGTTGGGTAAAGAAAGTATTTTGATATAAATATCATATGAGAGAGTAACTTTGGGGGGGGGAGGGGGGCAAAAATTCACACAGAGATATAGACACATCTTTAAAGATGAAGAGGGATCATCATCTCAAGCCCCTCGTCAAGAACAAAGGAGAAAAGAAGCTTAGATCTTCAGTATTCATCAGTAATTGAATTATATCAAATGTGTGGAGGTCAGCCTTGTTCAAGAACGGTGATCCTTTTTATCTATCTATTCACCGCTATCATTTAATGTTATTAAAACATCATCCTTTTCTTACATTATGGGATTCAACCATTATTATAATCGAATTTTGTGTTCAGCTATGCTTGTGTATTTTTTATCTTCTATCTCAGATCTAGGATAAATTATCTTTGGTTAGGATTTGCCTCAAATCTTCCTATTCGATTAGTTTAAGAAAAAGGTTTAACACTTTTTGGTCAAAAAATTTAGCGCCGTCTGTGGGGATTTTCTAGCCAAAATTTTAGTTTCCTCTAGATCTAAAATCAACCAGAGTTCCACTTCCTGGTTGTCGTAGCCTCGCCCTCCCATTACAAACACCAACTCAAGAAATTTGTAGGCAAGCTCTTGAAATAGCCGAACAATCCGAGGTCAGATCTTTGCACGAAATCGAAATTATGTTTTGATATCTATGTGAAAGCCACGTCTTGCTGAAGGGATGAGTCTGGTATGTCGTGAGCCTGAGTTGCCAAAGATTATGGCCACTACGCACTAAGTACATCCACCATCTTATTGCTATATTAACGGCAGATACCAATCTATATTTTATGCACACTGCCCTCTTTCTCTTAGGAAGTAATGATAGCCTATTGTGTAATTCTTTGAAATAGCAAGCTTACCTTGTCCGCATGTTGGCGGTATAACTTATATTCCCCTTATTTTTGTGCACCTGGGACTGGATCAGACCGGGACTCGAATCCGATACCCCAACGGGCGAAATAAGTTGTCAGTCCACAAGATGTCCAGATTCGACTAATGGAGAAGCTAAGCACGAGGACGGGATCAAATCTGAATCCAAAATTCGAGTACGGGTCAAACGACTCGTATTGCAATGCCCTTCTCTACTCGTCAACCAATCAAGTCGAGGTAACAAATAATTTAGTTTGGGTATAACTAGCTATTTTTCTTTGAGTGGGATAGGAACAAGAACATTCTCCCAAATACGCGAACAGAGAACAAACGCCATCAAAATAGCACTCTCCACGCCATATCATCCTGCAGGCAACGGACGAGTGAAATCACCTCTCCAACAAATTAGTACTTAACGACATAAAGGGAAAAGTCGGAACAAATGTTAAGACTTGCAAATGCACGCAATTAATTGACAAGTTGTATTAATCGGCAGAATCCTATAGACTGGATATCTATATGAGGAAATATGTGAGCAATGTTATATAGAAGCAGCTTCATTAAGGCGGGTATTAGGACCTATTATTTGCCTACTTATTCTAATGAATATCATCTGGGCACTTCAAACTATAATGAATCACAATTACAGATCCAGAATTGTTATTAAGTCCTATAGGCATATTGTCTAAGTGATGACAGTGGCGATTATGTTCAGAACCCATTAGTAGAATCCTATAGGCATGATTGCTAATATCGAACTGACTTAAATCCTATAGGCATGATCTCTAGGTTTGAAACTGATTTAACCCTATATGCATGGTATCTATTATTGAATTAATTTAAATCCTATAGGCATGATCTCTAGGTTAGAAATGGTTTTAGTCCTATAGACATAGTATCTATTATTGAATTGATTTAAATCCTATAGGCATGATTTCTAGATTTGAAACCAGTTTTAGTCCTATAGACATGATATCTATTGAACAATAATACAGGCAGAAATGGTGCACATTACCAGGAATGAAAAATAGTTAGATTAACATTGAGGTCTTATAGGCATGATTGCTAACATATGCTCGTTGGACAAATTAATACAACCTATAGGCAGGATTTCTAATGCAATTTAATTTTCTATAAGCAAGATTTCTAATGCAATTTAATTTTCTATAGGCAGGATTTCTACTATGCAAGCATAGTACATCACTCACGCGATTTCAACAGAGATGAGGTAAACAAGATTAACAGAGCAAATGAAACCCTATAGGCAGGATTTCTACCCGGATTGCCCAAAGGGAATAAAGATCCTTCCCAATTTTAATATATATCCCAGAATTTGTTTGTTACAAACTTATTATGGGCCAGAGTAAATGAATAAATTACATAACAGTAGTAAAATAAAATATAGGGGGCTTTCATTAAACCCAACTGAACCTGGGAACCAGGCCTTCACACCAATCAACTTTAAGGCTCATTTTATAGGTACAACATAGCCAAAATATGAGTGATTCACTCATAGCACATATAGAACCAGGTTTCCAGTGTGTCAATGTTCCCAAGGGCCTTGGGGACCCAAGGCAATGCTTACACCAGAACCATTATTCAATAGCTGATTCACAGGAGATGGGTAACTAATTCCCAGTGAGTTAGAGTTCACAGGAGTCTCATGTGGATCCTAAGCAATGCTTACACTGGGGTGGTTGGGAACCTAAGGGACTAAGAGTGAGGTTTTAAAAATCAGCTTGAAAAAGGGAGTAAGGGCAGATTTCAAAACAGTTTGATTTCAGAATTAACAAGATTTAGAACATAGGATTGTATTCAGAAGACAACAAAGTTTGCAAAGTACATAGTTTCAAAC